GTCATTTTGATCCTTTAAAAATATCAAAATTGTGCAACAGACAGAGCCCGAGGGTGCATGGGGCAGGGGTGGCTACATCCTAAGGCGCGTGCCCAGGAAGAGACAAGGCTGCCCTGGTTTGAAATTCAGGGGTGATGCCCTCTCCCGGGCTCCTGAGGAGTGGGCGGCCTGCCGGGTGCACGCCACAGGGCAGCAAGCAAGACCAACTTCCGCTTAGAGCAGCTTTTTAAAAAAATATATATATTTTTATTAATTTCAGCGAGTGAGACATAACGGAGGCTTATGTATTAGTGACCGAGTGTCTGGTTCAGGCACTGAGTTTCCTCAGATGCCCCCGGTGATGCTTCCTGGGGGCAGTAAGAACAGTTAAGGTTGCTGTTGTTCAGGTGAGAGGACTGGTGCTGGCAGAGCGCACGCACACGCTCAAGGTCACACGTCTGGTACCTTGTGGAGCCGGAGTGTGAAGCCAGCTACAAACTCAGTTGTCATTTTGATCCTTTAAAAATATCAAAATTGTGCGACAGAGCCCGAGGGTGCACGGGGCGGGGGTGGCTACATCCTAAGGCGCGTGCCCAGGAAGAGACAAGGCTGCCCTGGTTTGAAATTCAGGGGTGATGCCCTCTCCCGGGCTCCTGAGGAGTGGGCGGCCTGCCGGGTGCAAGCCACAGGGCAGCAAGCAAGACCAACTTACGCTTAGAGCAGCTTTTTAAAAAAATATATATTTTTTTATTAATTTCAGAGAGGGAGGGAGAGGGAGAAAGAGATAGAAACATCACCCTAGCTGGTTTGGCTCAGTGGATAGAGCATCAGCCTGCCGACTAAAGGGTCCCAGGTTTGATTCCCTTCAAGGGCGCGCTTGCGGGCTCAGTCCCCAGTGGGGGATGTGCAGGAGGCAGCTGACCCATGATTCTCTCTCTCTCTCTCTCTCTCTAACTCTCTCCCCCTTCCTCTCTGAAATCAATAAAAATACATTTTTAAAAATTCTGCATGAACTAAGTCTCAGTTCTATCAATAGCTCTTACGATTTGCCCTGTTAAAAACTGGAAAGGCGAAGGAATAGGGTCAGATGGGATCCATCCTGTTGATCTATCCGTACTCCCTCCCTTGGATTAAGAGACCCTACAAGTTGTCCATTGCTGTGGTTCTCCACCAATTTCCTAACTCTACCCCCCCCTGCCCCCCACTTTATTCCCCCCCCTGCCCCACGTTTGGGGAAGGAGCCCCCTTGGGGAGGAATGGAGCTCTGTGCCTGCTGATACCTCCAGACATGGGCCACAGCCTCCCTGGTACTGCCTCCTCCCACGGCTGTGGTGATTGTGTGGGTGGTGGCATAGTCTAGTGCAGTGGTTCTCAACCTTCTGGCCCTTTAAATACAGTTTCTCATGTTGTGACCCAACCATAACATTATTTTCGTTGCTACTTCATCACTGTCATGTTGCTCCTGTGATGAATCGTCATGTAAATATCTGATATGCAGGATGGTCTTAGGCGACTCCTGTGAAAGGGTCGTTCGACCGCCAAAGGGGTCGCGACCCACAGGTTGAGAACCGCTGGCTTAGAGACTGTCCCCCTCTGATGGTGATCTTAGCTGGCTTTCCCTAGAAATCTGCATGTTCCCTGCTCACCGGAGACCATGGGTCACCCTCGCCCTTGTGCTTGTGTTCCCAGAAACCACATGTCCACAGAGGTGGTCGCGAATGGGACATCGAGGCCCAAGGAGACACTTCCTCACCACCACGGTGATGTGACAAAGTGTAGGGCCTCCCTCGCTGGGGCCACAGGGGAGAAAGCTGCCCCCCAGACCCGCTGGCTTAGATGCCCACCTTCTGAGGCAGAGCTGGGCCTGGGGTCCCTTCAGCTCCGAGGTGCCACATGCCCCGCTTGGCAAAACGGCCTTGATCTTTGCCCCTTAAAGTTCCGCTCCGTAAGAGACACACCTAAGGTTTTGAATTCTTCTGCAAAGAAAACTGTGAGGCAAAGGAAACCACCTACGTCTTGTTTTCTGTTTCATCCTCTTAATTGGATTTCCTGCTTCTCCCTAGGCCATCAAAAGGCCCGTTCCCCGGTTCACGGGAAAACACTGGCCACCGTCGCCACTGTACGGAGTTCCTACCATCTCAGGATCGGGAGTTCCTTAAGCCACCAGGGACCGAGGATGGAGGAGACTGGATTTCCTGTTTCTCCCTAGGCCATCAAAAGGCCCGTTTCCCAGTTCCCGGGAAAACACTGGCCACCATCGCCACTGTATGGAGTTCCTACCGTCTCAGAAACAGGAGTCCTTAAGCCACCAGGGACCGAGGATGGAGGAGACCCTCTCCGCAGCGCCTGGTGTCAGGACCGGGAGGTAAGTACCCTGAAGAAAATACATCGAATTCAAAGCATTAGTGGGGAGAGAAGCACAGCTTCCCGTTATAAAACAGGTCACGGGATGTCAAGTGCAGCATAGAGAATATGGTCAATATAAAAA